ATAACGCAGCTCATAAAGGCCTTTGTGTTTCGACGAGCAGCCGGAGTTTATAGCCTTGAGTTCGCATAACTGAAATAACTTCCCTGTCGAAATAGTGCTCGAGTGATAGCGTTTCGCATAGCAATGGTGCGTGCAGAGGGTTGCTATTTTTGGAAGGAGAAAATATGAATCCTATAGAAGTGTGAAAAGTGAGCGAATGGGTCTTTCCTTGAGCGCTTTCAAATTTACTACCTAGAAAAACCGCATGCCAACGAGGTTGCGCGACGTTCTCGACGAACGTTTGCAGCCGTCTGGACATGAATGAATAGCTCGGCGAAAAAAGCAGCGAAAACATCCAGTCGACCTCACGCTTTCCAGCGTGAGTGAATCTTTTCAGAGAGGATTATTTTCCTATGATAGACTTGGTTGCTAATTATTGCTGAGGCGCTGTGCCGCTCAGGGACGGGGGAGGGGGGGGGAAGGTGGGGGCATGTCGAACTTTCGTTAGTTTCTTTCGCTAGTTCTTGTTGACTTACACGTCCCACCTCGATAAGACGAGTAGACTCTTGTCAAGTAAAAGCGAAGTTAGTGCTAAGGCATGGCTTCACAAGAGTTCACAGGTCTTCACAGGGTGCATCGGCAATGATCGATGAAAATTACCAAAGTGTCCCCCCAAATCGAACTTCGGCGACGGTAGGGAGTGATTTTGATGTTTTTCACTGCCCTAGAGTTTTTAAGTGAAACGCTCAACAATTATTCGACGTTTCCACTCAATCAGAACTTTAATATTACGCTAGTTCGGCTTCATGGGGGCATTTCGCTGATTCCCACCGATCATTGCCGGTGCCTCCCATAGAGACTCCTTCAATTCATGCGTCAAGGAGGACCTTAGTATTAAACCTGAGAAACTAGCCAAGTAGAAAAATGGTGCTCCCCCAAACCGAACAGAGCTCTAAAATACCTCATGTTCAATCAATTCCTTGCAATCTGACATGATGATGACCATTTTAGTATGTTTTCCACTATTCAAGTGAATTATGCTATGCTCAATTAAGCGCATCGTTCGATCCCCACGAGGAGGGACGCTGGAGGACGGGGGGAGGCGTATTGACCTTTGAGGAAAATGTTTCCGGTCCTTGACTTTTCAAGCCGAACTGTGGTTGAATTGTCTTAACTCGGCGCCGATGACCTTAGAGAGGGCAAATGAAAGCACTGCTTGTCGAACCTTGAACCTGGAATCGCCCCTCCCCCTCCCCGGTTTCAAAGCGTCTGCAGTCTTGTTCGCTGCGGACGCTAGGGAGTGTCACTGGGCTGGTTTGGCGCAGCGCCAGCCAGTTTTCCACCATTATGGTCGTCTGCCAGCTTCCACAATGGGGGAGAAGGGGCGCATTTCGGCGACGAAAGGGGGGGCATTTTGCACCTTTGCTATTTCCCATCAACGTGTCGACCTATCTAGGCAGCCTCGAGTTTACAGGTTTTAACATGATGGCTTGATAACCTTGTTCCAGCTTCACAAGAGTTCACAGGTTTCGCCAGAGTGAGACTTGTAAACCGGAACTAAGGAAGCAATGATAGTACAATGCCCCCCCCCGTCGCCGAACAGCGCTGGAGAACGGTTTGACCGCGCCAACCCAGCCCAACTGACACGCCCCAGCATTCGCAGCGAAGAGGACTGTACCCCATTTCAGACTTTTGAATAACGGTACTTCCACGTTCATTTCAAGGCAACAAATAAATTTCAATTTCTAAAAAGACAATTTCAACCAAATCTAATAAAATATTGAGCAAACACGATTGAAATCCATGGAGAACAACACATATACACGTATAACTAAGAAGTAGTGAGAAAAGAGGTCCAAATCAATAAAGCATAAAGGCAAAGAATTTGGTCATGTAAATTTCATAGAAGAAATCAATAGTACGTCGTATTACGCGACCTTTCGATTGATATTGATGGAATTTGCGGAATCGATCGAGCTGACCGAGTGGTTGCGTTCGACGGATAGTGGGTAAGATCCTGAAAGCAGTGAGTGAACAACAGCCATCTGTTTATTTCTAATTGCAGATTATGTTCTAGTATTCTGCATAGGTGAGGTTGGTGTGAGGATAGAGAGGTCGCGGAGGGGGGGGCAAGAGAACCGTGAGTTGCCGCTTCGTCGCGCGCGGCAATGGACGCGACGTTTCCTTGTTTTGCACTGCCCTTTCGATTGGAGCATCGGATTTCATGTAGACAAGGACAGGAAATACACACATGTCTATTTTTGGTCATACATTGTCTATTCTCGACCAATACCACCTGAAATCGTCGTCATTAGCAGGCGCGACGTCGCACGCGACGCCCACTGGCGCGGCGAATTACGATTCTCTTGCCACATACCCAGAGAGGTCACCGCTCACCATCCTTCCCGTAAATCGCAGGGGGTCATATTTGGCCGTTGTGAGAAGTCTTTCTCCTGACCCCCAGTTGGGGTCATACTTGGCCGTTGTGAGAAGTCTCTTTCTCTGCTGACCTGATCCTTCCTCTCCCCACGTCAAGAAAGGGGCAAAACCATTGGTAAAGTTGGGAGGAAATGGTAGGTAACAATGGGGGAAGGTCCCGCGTGGTTGGCGGGACTCAGAGGCATCAGATTATGGAGTGCGAGGTCGCTACTTTGCAAACATTTCCAACAGCACGAGGGGTAATTCTGAGGGGTGGCGCCCTTGAGTGTTCGGTAGCCAGGGTACAGGCATCGGCGATTGTTAAACATGTAGGTTAGGTCATCGACCCCCCCCCTCTTTTCCCCACAACCTACCTACCATTCTTCCAGAAAACTTCCCGTATTTCTTCCCAAACCAGTTTTTACTCTCAAGGGGGGGGATGTAGTAATATAAGTACACATAAAAACAGGGGAAAATATATCTACCGCCGAAAAGTTCAACAACCAGGAAAAATTGTTTTCGCTGGTTCCTGCAATGGCTCGTAAGGCCACCACCCTTCTCTTCTCTCTCTACTCCAACGCGACCAAATACGACCCCCCTCAGCGGAAAAGTACCGGACCCGCCCTTAATTGTGTTTCACCAACGATGCATGCTAGCCCATCCTTCGTTACCACATTCCTAAGATCTGGCCTGGATTCCTGAGCGATGAGGCTTTGCTCTCCACGCGCGGGTGTGTTAGATTAGAGGAGGGTTTGCGTCGGCGCTAGCGCCCCTTTTCCGTTGGATGTGGTCGGCCGCGTCAGCTTCCGAGCTAGTGAAGAAACATGAGCGGCGCCACCAAAAACCTCCCTTGCCGTCCCACTCGGGGACACGGCCCTTTGTTAGCCAGGCGAACAAAAAGGATGTAGCAACAAAGTGGACCGGAAAGCGAAATTCTACGTTCATCCGCTGTGGGCGGTTTAAAAGGGCAGACTTAAATGGTCTCCTTACGGTGCGCGCCAATTCTCTCTATTGTGTGAAGAAAAGACGACTGGCGAACATAGGAGAAAAGCGTAAGTGTGTTAGGGCTGTTCTACTGTCTCCACGATGACCTTAAAATGCTGCCCTTTGGAAAAGTGAAAGTTGATCAAACCTGTCCGAAAAGCGGCCGTACGTTGTGGCGACATGAGCGAATATGCTAATGTGAAACAATTTTTTTTTCAAGATCGGCCTTGGTTATTCCGCTCTGTGCTGCTATTGCTGTCGTCTTTAATCCGAGAAGAGCGCAATAAATATGCCTAAACGGATGGATTCAGTAAACCCACTTAATTTCGTGAATTCCGATCAACTAACAGTATTTGGCGAAAACATTCCACACTTTCATCGCCCGGCCGTTCAATCACCCAGTATTGCCCTTTTCCTAATTCAAAGCCCCTTTTTCTCTAATCGCGATTTAGGAAACGGAGGCGAGTTCCAGCATGGAGGCGCATTATTGCAGGGCCCGACTCCGCCCATATGACCAGGCAATGTTTGCCTTGAAGGCCAAAGCGCGACGCCGAGCGATGGCTACGCGGAGCTCAGGGACGAACGAACAATGTGCTAGGTAAGTCGAGCCCAATGGGGAAAAGAAGCAGAGGAAAACAGTCCGAAATATGGCCCTTAAATGAGGGGAAAGCCGACCCCAAAGTTGTACGGTTCATTGCAATGAGAAAAAGCATGTTTGTACGAATTTCCACTCGTCGTTATCATAAAGATATCAGCTCTTTTATCTTATCACCTCACTCTCACCATTCGGAATGGAGAGAGATAGCATAGTGGCTACTAGCTAGTAAAACCAAGTGTGTTTGTGGTCGGCAATGGGGCCCAAGGCCGTGCCAAGCGGCCATAAGTGGTCAGCTTCAGATTCTGCCCAATCTTTCGCTTTTTGAAGATGCACACCCTACCGGAATACGCCCCCCCTCGGACCATCCTGACCCTTTGAGGGATTCATTCCCTTATTTTATCGAGCGGAAAGTGCCTTTTGAAGTAGCGCGTAACAGCCTCACACTTAAACACTCGGAAACCATCAACACAAGTACTCTGCCATTAGTTCGATGAACGACCACTGCTTGGGCGGGAGAGGGACCGCGCCGGGAAAGCTAGAACATGGAAATAGTAATTTATGAAGATGTTAGTGTCTCGCAAGACAGTGCCAGTGGCCAAAGAGCCGCGTTGCAATCACAGAATTCTGAGATTACTCATATTTTCATATCCGGGGATCGTATCTTTCGCCGCCCAACAATGAACCCACTCACGGTCGAGCGGCTGCGTTTATCCGATGAAATTCCCTCGAAAACTTGAAAAAAGAACATTTAAACTATAAAAGAGGGGCGGAGTCGACAAGCGTATAGGCGCTGGAAAGGGGAGCATCAAGCGCCTAGGCCAGTATTATTATATTAGGCCGTCGAAGTCGGACCCTGATTGATCATCATTATTCCCGTTAATTCCCAGGAATTGTTGTTCCTATATAGAGGATTACAGAGCGCGAAGGTCCAAAGCGGTTATGGCCTCAGCAGATGACCCCCCCTAATCGATGTCCGCTGAAAACCTGGCAGCGTGCGCATGGGCATTTATCCCGTATTTTGACTTGAATGACCCTCCGCGAAAGAGCCCGATTGAGCTTTGAGGGCTCGTGATTAGAATCCAGAAGAGGTGCGCAGCATCCCTTGGCCACTGCGCTGTCAGGGTCCAACTTGGTTGAGCTGCAAGACTGTAATGGAGATCAAGACGCTCCAGAATCTTACCCCAGAATGCAGTCTTTGCCACACTAGACGGTGAATGTTCAGCTACTTGATGAGCAAACCAAGTGTGAGGTTCAGCTCGATACAGGTAACCATTCAAATTCAGTTCCAGTCCTGATGTCACCTGAAATTATACATTGCTTTCAATCTAATAGCTGGAACCAAAATAGCGCTGTTTGACTTAGGGGGTAGGGCGCGTAATTTGCTTGAAAGACTCAGCTACACCTTCTTCAACGTTCCTTAGCAGCTAGTATTATTTGCTATCACTCCCTGTCCCCCCCCCCGCTACATCATATATTTTGAAACCAATACACCACTGTTATGGCGACAGGCGCTATCAAAATCGTAACACCCACAGAAGCCTACACTCCATATCACGAATGAGAGGAGGGTGTGGCCGCGTGCTCCATTCAAACACGGCGCAGGATGCCTTTTCCCTGGAATATTTCCACTTCAAATAGCTGCCATCCTGTCTGTTGTTGGACAAAGACAAGAATGCAATTGTACCGAAGTGAAGAGATTCCATTTGAAGGGCACCCACTGCCAGGCTTAAGCACGCGGCCACGCCCACCCCACCTCCGGGATATGGGGCGTATTTAGCGGATATTATAAAGCAACACCATTTCGTTTATACCGAGTACCCTTCTTTGGAAAAGGCGCCATGCAGCGCCTGCTAAGGGGCACAATATCCGTTCGGACTGCAAGTATCAACCCTGCACGCCTTGTCCATTGATCGTGCCACTTGTCTTTAAATCGGTTTAGCTGCCCCTGACGATTGTGATATTCATGGCCCAATGTGCATATTCGTGCACTCTTTCTTCCTGCCGTTGACTCGAAAATGTCTATAATGGGCACCTACCGCTTACTGCAAATATTCTTGGCTATTCGGCTTGCATTTCGCGAATCTTTTTGACATGCTGAATCGAGCTGTATTATCATCTAAGATGGCTACGTCATTGATGGATGATTTTGGAAGGGAAAATCGTTGCGAGAGGAACTCGGCTAGCATCCTAAAATTGAACCTCGTGAGAATTTTATGGATCATTAGTCGGCATAGTATTTGCCCATATCGGTCCACCGCTGATGCGAACCTTTTCTTGGGCGGAGACACCTTCCTCGGAAACTCCTTGCTTCTGGTCCGATAAAGGAGATGGCCGCTCCGATGACACCGATAAAGTCAGGGCAGTTCTTGCTGTTAGGGGCAATTTCAGGGGCAAACAACCTCTCCAAATCCCCTATCTGGTTCGCCCTCCTCTTTCTCCATCTTATTGGATTTTCCTATTTTCTACCGCTTTTCTCTCTTTATTCCCGAATAATTTCTCTAGCCTCCCCCCCCCCACACACACACACGAAAAATTGTGCCTTTCTGCGGCAGGAGACTAGCCATCAATTTCGCTACAGACTCTACCGGTGCCAGCAAATTACGAAGCGACGAAATCGGTCCGTCGGCCTATCATTGAAATGTTCCCAACAAGAACACAAAAAAATTTTCATCGACAAAACTTTCTGAGGGCAAATACGACCTCTTCCTCCACCGAATTAACGCGACCTCTCGCTGGCGCCGTTCCCAGCTAACATGACGGTGTCTCGCCCTCTGCGATCAGCGCGCGGACTGCGTCTTGGTTGGGCGCAACAAGTACCGACTACAGCAATATTTTGTTTCGCTATTGAGTCTTTTCTTATTTTTCGCTATGGTCATTTTAGACGAAATCCACACATAACTTAGCATGCCTCAGATTCGCTTTATCAGCGGTGTGGAAATAAAACTGAAGTGGAAACCTACTCCTGAGGCCACGTTTTTACGACTGACATGGAGATATCTGCTGGGTCCCGTCAAAGAAAAGCCCAAACTTCGCTAAGTTTTCCATTGCGTATCCATAGACCCGCTTGCGGCCGTATGGGAATCAAGAGATCAGCACCAACGCCTGAGAGGAACCTTCTTCGTAGATCGCAAACAACGGTTGCTAAGATGTTTACCGTTTTATAAAAATAGTCAAATAATAAAATGGAACCAAAGGAACAATTATCAAGGTTAGTGTAACATTCAAAGAGGAAAGTGAAAAGAATTAAATGAAAAATAACGTCAAAAAAGGAATTTCAGGAGGAATGATGACCACGTTGATCGTATGAGCGGAACCCTGGTGCGCACACCTACTTCTGGGACAAACGCGCCAATAGGAGAGGCCCAATAGTTGGCGTATCTCACGCCTATACGGATCAGGACGTAGACCACGTATTCAAGGATCTCACGGGAAATATCTCAGTTTTTGGCGCAGTTTGGCTTAGTGGGGACATCGAATGGCTCAGCTAAACTTTAATAGGGTCCACCTTGTGAAGATCCACGGGAACCGAAAGTGATCACTCGCATAAATTTGAAGTCTCACCAAGGCTCAATGTCTCATCAGCAGAGAGACCTGTTACTGATCATGAACCAAACAAAGCGAACTTTTTAGCGATAGGTGCAAAATCCCTCAATGCGGAAGCACCCAGTTTTCGGAACATCTCGGAAGTGTGAGATTTGACCTTAGGAACTATGTATGCATCACCATAGTTCTAAAAAGCTGACCTAATGACGACGTATAGGAATGCGCGTAGCTTTAGGAATGCCCACTCACTCAATGAACGGAAGCGTACAGTGGTAATAGAAAATACCTAAAGAAAGTGGGCGGCGATAGTCAACAGTTGCGCTTTCTTTACATGTCTTAGAAGAAAAGGCATATTTAGAAGGAAGAGAGAATGGCTGGCCGTCTCCACCCATATGACCACCGTGCACTGCGCCTTTAAAGCCCCATAAAGTATAAGAGAAACATTTGATTATAAATTGACCTACCATCGCAGAACGTTTCGCAGTGCTCTTTTGTCGCAAAATTATTCAAATTCCGAACAACCCGTAGTCAAAACGATAGATGCAGCTCTGATTCGATGGGAGAATAGAAAATCGGGGTACCGGTATGAACACGGCTCCTCTCTGAAACCTCTATTGTCAGATATCGAGGCTAGATATTGCACGTCCAACTCCGCCCAGACAACGAGGGTTGGAATGTCCCTCCACGGGTGGTGAAGGACAGCAAGCTCCGTAAAAAAGTGACCAACTCACGTTTAGAAACGCAACATATTCCAACCTTCTCGCCCGGATGTGTAGAACAGTAGTGGGTCGATGGGCAACTGAAGAAGATAAAATGCTTAGTGCTTTCAGGAGTAAGCCATGCACACTACTCCAGTTTAAGATCGGAGAATCATTGGCCCAGACATGCGTTGGCCCAAACAATGACTCGTTTTGTTCAAAAAATATTCGCGACCCCACAGTCCACTTATCGACCCCAGGGTGAGGGGCCCAATGGTTCCAAGTTGTATACGAGAAAAGAACGCTCTTGAAATAAAAAGAGGCGCCGTTTGCTTTAGTGGGGGCATACCGACTCCACTGTGGAGAGCTGGCAGAAAAACCCCCTCTAAGCCGAACTGTCCCAGAGACAGCGCTCTCAGGTACTCCACCAATTTGACCAAATGAAATGTTCTCTTTATGAGGACAGTTTTCGCTGAATGCATACGGGGAGACATAGGTAGGGACAACCATTGTGCCTTATTCGTTGAAGCGTCCCTTCCTAGTCTCAACCCCGCCCACATTGTCAGCGTAGACTGGCCCACAAACAATGTTTACCTGTTGACTTTCGACGAGCAAGCCAGAGGTGTACCGTCTGATGAACTTGCGAATGGGTCGCCATGAGGACAGGACGTGATCTTCGCTTTGGTCAGCAGTGGCTCTTAAAAAGGCAAAAATGGCAATGGCTGAAATCCTAGTGACACTTTAGTAGCACATTAGTCCGAGCACTAAAAAAAATCAAAGTGTTTATAAAAAGGTGGAGAGAGGGCACGAGAGGGCGACTGTGTGACGTCACATTTGGCTGTCTGTTCTCTCTTCCTGGAAAGAAAAGTGGCATAATGTAATCACTCTATGGGTCCGAAAGGAAGTGACAAACCAAGACAATCAAGACATGACGCAACCTAAGGCGTACAAGAGACAAGCAAGACATGACGCAACCTAAGCGTACCGTTGCGTGCGCTCCTCTCCACCCAACTACCTTTTCCCAGGATTTCACTCACCTCTTCCTGGACAACAGACGCCTGTCCCTTCTCCGTCAAATCCTGTACAGTAGAAGCCTGTCGGACAAATTTCACCAGATTCCCTACAGAAGAATTGTCGTTTCGTCCTCGGATCGATCACCGGTCGATCACCAACGTTACACGGGGAATTCTCGCCTGAAATTCTGACTTTTATCTGGTCGGAACTATGCAGGATACGGTACGATTACTGTAACTTACAGGTTGGAACAGGAATGCAATTGGCTGATGAGCACGGTAGGACACGTAGAATGCATACCTGTAAGGAGTAAGCATTCGAACGGAAGCTACTAAAATCTAGGACTGCGTTCATACTTCGCGATCCAAGCGATGGAGCGATCAGACCGCGAAGTATGAACCCGCTTAAACAGCTGACTTTACTGTCCGGTAGGCTCTGAGCGCAGACGTGCAAAATCATATATATTGATTCAACAGCTACTGTGGACGTACCTCATTGCCTCTGCAGGTGATCTTGTCGCAGGGTGAAGAGCAACGGCAATCCGAATATGGGCAGAAGTCCTGATCCAGTACCGGGCCATAGGGACACATCGATCGTGGGCATTGAGTTGGGCAGCTACGAGGAGCTGAAATGACTTGAGTAGTCTTTAATAGGCTGCGCCATGCCTTTAAATCCCGCAGAAGTTTATAGGCACAGTCAAATGCATGTGTAACTTATGTTATATGACTTGTGCGGATCGTCCAGTGGCCGAGCTGAAGTGCTTTTATACAGTGGCGTTTTCGCATACATTTTATCGTGGCGTCAGCCTATTTCCACAGCAGTACTGCCCGCCCCATAGTGGCAACGCACAGCCAAAACGAGCTGATGTGGCGCCAAAATGTCCGTTACAACGTGAACGCGCTTCAACGTGACGCACCGATTAGCGACCTGGTATCTGCCCTACTGACAGATTCCCTTACAAAGAATCTTCAGAGAAGGAGCATTCGCTCGATGCCGCTCCATTTGGCCAATACATAACATCTTTTATCAAAAGATAGACTTAAATGCAAGAAAAATGAAGAAGAAGAGAACCTCGCGTTACCATGCCCTCTTCTCGAAAAGCTCAAGGGAACAACGCCTCAAAAGCAGCTGTGTGAGCAAGCGCTGGCTAAAACTTACGAGAGCAAGCTCGTGGTTTGATTTGACGATTCCTGGTCAGATAGGGCGAACTGTAGGCGAAGATTCCCAGTTCGCAGTTCCCAGTAATTCATAAGGTTGAAGAATCACAAGCCCATACCTTGGCAAACATTCTGACCAACGGAGTTGGATCGGCGTGTTCCCGGCACTGGTCTTCCGCTTTCCACATCTACACACCAACAGGTCCCGGTCGTTTCGCATTGGATACGCACAAAAAGGCCTGAAATGTCCAGTTTACTCCTGAATGAAAGATAACATGGCAAAACAGACTACGTAATTCGGCGCTGTTCGGCTTGGAGGGGACATTTTGCACTTCTGCTGGTTCATTTTATTCGTGTACAGATACTAACAGGTCACACTTTGATGAGACTTTTAAACTCCGGTGAAGCTGCACAATGGTGTGAGTGGGCTATTTTAAACACAGAAATTCACAGGCCTTCGCAAAGGGGCCTGTACAAGATTAGTTGGGTGCCATTCGGTGCCCTTTTCAAGCCGAACTGCGCCTTTAGTTCTACAGCTCCTATTGAGCATTTAACTAGTGAGTTTCAGCCTGTCTTTGTGCCTTACGAGGACAAGGCACTTAGAGGGTGGAACGTCTCCGAAAACGACGACTCACTCCAGGCCTTAGCACAAATTACATGAAAGTTCCTCTTAGCAATCTCGTAAAGTTCAAAACAAGTTAGTAAATTGATACTGCGTGATTGTTCCCCTCACTCTTGACACAATATGGAAGGGCGTTGTCAGGAAACGTGGAG